CTTAGCTCCCCTCCTCTTGTGCAAAAGTTAGGAGATTTCTCTTTTTCTTTCCCCCTAGCTTTCCGACAGTTGAGGCTTTCCGCTATTTTCGAGTGAAAAATTTTTCCTTCTCGACTAAGTGCCCCTCCTCTTATGTAGAAGTGAAGGGATTTTTTCCTGTTCTTCTTTTCCCCCCGGTTTTCTGACAGTTGAGGTTTTTCGCTATTTTTGAGTGGGAAATTTTCTCTGCTCAAATTAGTGCCCCTCCTCTTGCGCAGAAGTGAAGGGATTTCTTCATGCTCTTATTTTTCCCCTGGCTTTCTGACAGTTGAGGTTTTTCGCTATTTTTGAGTGGAAAATTTTTCCTGCTCGACTTAGCACCCATCTTCTTGTGCAGAAGTTAGGGGATTTCTCTTTTTTCTTTTCCCCCTGGCTTTCTGACAGTTGAGGTTTTCCGCTATTTTAGAGTGGGAAATTTTCCCTGCTCGACTTAGTGCCCCTCCTCTTATGCAGAAGTGAATGGATTTTTTCCTCCTTCATTCTAACTTTCTTACAGTTGAGGCATTCCCCTATTTGTTGTAGGCGGCATCCCCTATTAAAATTCGGGGCCCCTCTCCGTGTGTAGAAGTTAGAATTTTTAACATCATTTGAGCGGAAGTCTGTCAGCGATGGACGGTCGAGTTGAAGTCCATTAGCAGTCAACGATCGAGTGTAGAGCTGATGGAGAGAGTTCGAGGGTGCGCTGCAAGTAGCAGTTGAGCGAGAAGCCGATGATGGCCGATATGAAGTGAAGGACCGCCAGTAAATATCAGATGAATGACGAAATGATAGAAAGAGTCCAGTGGTATTTTCCTATGCAATATACATCCAAACTGAAGTATACCGACAACAGATATCACTAAGTCAAGGGGCCGGAGCAGTGTGTTATGTTAGTGGTCTGGCAACACACGTATACTGCCAACTGAGTTGAGGCTTGATGAAGATCAAATTGTAATATGTCTTGTTGCTTGATGTACAATCTTGTAATATAACTATAATGATATTGTATATGAAGTTGGGATTATTGTATGAGCTTGATGCTTATTTTTCATTTAAAATGAACTCGTCATCTAAAGAAAACTAAGTTATTTCATGCCTCTTTGAGGTATGCTTTGAATGTGCCTTTCGTGCTCTTTGAGGTTTTTTAGTCTTCCAGAATTCTATATTCATGTGTGGAAGAGGTCGAGAGAATCCACGAATGATGTAAGACCTATTCAAGGTTGTATGTCAGAGCCCTGCTCGATGACGTTAACCTGTGTGGAAGAGGTCGAGAGAATCCACCAAGGATGTAAGACCTATATGAGGTTGTATGTCAGAGCCCTGCTCGATGACGTTAACCTGTGTGGAAGAGGTCGGAAGAATCCACCAAGGATGTAAGACCTATCTGAGGTTGTATGTCAGAGACCTTCTCGATGACGTTAACATATATGGAAGAGGTCGGAAGAATCCATTAAGGATGTAAGACATATCTGAGGTTGAATGTCAGAGACCTGCTCGATGACGTTAACCTGTATGAAAGAGGTCGGACGAATCCACCAAGGATGTAAGACCTATCCAAGGATGTATTTCAGATCCCTACTTGATGACGTTAACCTGTGTGGATGAGGTCGGATCAAATCCCCCCGATATTGACCATCCGACGATTGAGATACAATGTAGATTATGAATATCTCGAATCACGGAGAAAGAGTTTGAGATGTTTTTTATCTTTCATAAGAGAAAATAATATCACAACAACGTGAACATCATATTACTGTATTATGTAAGACAATACAATAGTTCTCTAGTATGACTTAAGGATATACGAGTTACAATGACTCAACACATAAGGTATACGTACGGGCACAATATAACATTTAACTTGGAAGAAGATATTAAAGATATCAAAGTGACATCCTGCTTAACATAAAAGAGATAACAAGACAAGTAGTATTGCTAATACAAATGCATGAAGTGCACGATCATTCAATCTCTCCAACCATTTGAAAATTATTCAATGGTTGTCTTTGTTGTTAATTTTGCCCCCCCAATGGGATGAACTTCCTCTCGGGTAGATGAATCTTGAATAAATTATCGAAGGTAGCCCTGGCGGATAAGTCTTTCAATCTCATCCTTGAGTTACTTATAGGCTTCGCTAGTGTGACCACGACTACGATGAAAGTGACAGTACTGATATGGATTTCCTGTGTTAGACTTCAAAGGATTCAGCCACTTTAATGTATTTTGATCTTGAACGGCCATCAATACATTTTCTCGAGATGTGTTGAGTGGAGTGTACTCATTTTCCTATAAAAGTTCCCATCGCGGTAATGGAGGCCCATGAGGTAGACTATTCTTCCCTTGCTTTTTCTGTTGTGAGAATGAATTGTCCATCCCAGGTGCACCTTTGTGCTTCCCGTTGATTTGCTCAAACTGCTTCATGTGAGCATTTATAGCTTCATCTGCAGAAATTTATGCCTCCATACGATGGATCAGGTCAGCATATGAATGAACAATGTCATGCATGAGTGTTGCATAGAAGGGGTCAGGACAAAGACCTCCAAGAAAGACCCCTCTGAGTAATTCAGGGTCTACTCCTGGAATCTATCGAGCATCGGTGGAAAACCGTTTAAAATATTCCTTTAATGATTCTTCTTCATTTTGGCGGATCCCGGAGAGGTGGGAAGAATCCTTAGCAATTTTTCGATTAGCCACAAACTGTTCAACGAATAGTTTGGCTAATTTGACGAATGAATGGATCGTTTTGGATGGAAGTGAATAGAACCACATTCGAGCATGTCCTTTAAGGGTGGCAGGAAAAACCTAGCAGAGGAGTGCGTCCGATGCTCATTGAATATGCATGATGGTTCTTTAGTAGTCGATATGCTCATACGGGTCGGTCGTCCCATCGTAGGACTCAATGTTTGGTTCTTTGAATCCAACCGGAATGGGGTGCTGAAGAATGGCTTCAGTTAGTGGTGATAACTCCTGGAAGTTCCTCTGTCTAAGAGCTTGCCTCACATCTCCTCGGGGAAACTCTTCCCGTACCAATTTTCGCAGTTCGTGACGTAGAGCATTGTGAGGGAGCTCAACAATGTGTGGTTGGGCTGAGTCTTCTGAAAGATCTAGGAGAACGCGAGGCTGCCGAGTTGAGGGCGAAGGATGTGTAGAACTTGCTGTATCAGTGAGTTCGTTGTTCTGATGCATCTGCCTTCTTGGGGGGGGGAGGAGGAAGAAGAATCTCTGCTTGAAGATGCTCGAATTGAATATCTTCAGCCCGTGGTGGATCTAGAGAGAGAAGAACTTTCTCCCGTTGTGGTAGTGTTGGTTGCCGAGTTTCTCGCAGGAGTTGAAGGATCTCATTCTGAGATTCTTCCATCTTATGGATTCTTTCTTCTAAAAAAGGTCTCGGGGTTCCTTCTTCGCCAGCATTTTGCCCCCTAGGATGAAAAGAGGTAGACATCGGGCGCCTGTGATTCACAGACTGATTTCTGGATTGGTGGGAGTTGGAGCGGGAAGCTCCAACAATGCGACTGCTACGTCTGTTGACCATCGTAGCAATACTTGAAGTTGTGGGATAATGTTTCCCATAGACGGCACCAAACTGTTGCGGGCTAGAATATACACGGCGGTAGAGTTTACAAATTTATGTCTGAGCGTTGTTCAAATATTTAGCACACAAACAGAAAAGAAAGTGAACACTAGGATTTTTATGTGGAAAACCCTGAAAAGGGGAAAAACCACGGGGCCACGTCTAGTTGAAAAGTTTCACTAGTGTTGCGTAAATTACAAGAAGTTGATTCGTCCCACAAGTTTGGACAATCATATTACACTAAGTTTTTCCTGAATTAAAATAAAGTTTTGCAAAATCTCGACGTTTCCCAAACATCCGGTAGAATTCCGGCCTATTCAGGCGGCGGGAAGAACTCCGGCGGTGGTCGAGGAGGAACTGATTCTTCTCTTTTTCTGGCTTCTCTCTCTTCTCACTTCTTGCTTGAGTCCCCTCTTATGAAGAATGAGGGCTCTATTTATAGTTTTTCTGGAGTGGCATAGCCCGTAAATAGGTGTGAGATTAGTGGCGAATTGAGAGTGGTTTGAATGGACGACCGATATCGAATCCCTTGATTGTGCACCGTTCATCAAACATTTGAAGTCCTTAGTGATGTCAGAATTCAGTGATCTTGGGTTCGTTGGATTCTTCTCGTCGAGCCATTCGATTCGAGTATAAGCTCATTAAAATCGGGACCATTTGGTAACTCAAATTGTGATTCAAATCTTATAATAGCACTTTGAGTCTTCGATTTAGACTTATTTGGACTCGGATTGAGTTGAATTTGGTGTCGTTGGGTTCGTATTTCAGAGACGCTCAGTTTGACGATAAGCTCGCTGAAATTGAAGTTCAGGTGCTCCCGGATTTAATTTTTAAAGTTTTCTGGTTGGTTTTTGCTTCGAGATTCGTGCTCGATCAAGATGATTTCATGACGACGTATCAATATTTATAAAAAATACATATAATTTTGTGCTATGATTCTATATGTCACACCATAATCATATATAGCTTCATGAATATATATATATATATATATATATATAAAATCTAAAATTTTTAGATAGAATTGACAAATAAGATCATTTATTAACATCTCTATTTTTATCAAATTAAAATCGTAGTATGGGATTGCTTTCTTACCGCTTCTTAATACAGTTTTTTATTACAAATTTTTTAATTTTTGTGCTAAACAATTTCTTTAAAAAAATAATAAAAAAATCTTCTCAAAATCATTATGCAAATCTCACTCCATTTATCAAACGGATAAATTATAAATCAGTATTGAGCGGGAATTATGAACCTTTCTCATGGCTACTCTCATCCACGAGACAACGACCGAGCACCGACACAGGAGTCTGATCCCATCCGTGCCGTCTAACTATTACCCGGATTACCGGCCGATTAGCCGTTATATTTGGTGCTAATTGGTCAATATATGATGCTGACGTCCAAGTTTATAGAGGCGCCTGGCGCAGTTTACGGTGCCGACACGGAAATACTGGCCCGAGATTTCGCCTCGACGTCGCCTTTATCTCCCGAAATCCCAACCAGTTTCTGAATTTTTTATTATATGCTCGACTCCACTTCCTCAGATTTCTCCGTCCGATCACGGAGAGATCGAAGGAAGTCAAAGCTAAAGCATGGTGAGAGTTTAAAAGGCTTTCAGCCAATTAATCACGCTGCAGTGCTCAATTCCATCCATGGATAGATCCGGCATTCCTCGGACGCCTCCCTACTCCCACGCCGCGCCGCCGACGGGGTATCCTTCCGCCGGCGGAAATCACAACCAGTCAATTTCCCAACCGGTCTTATTCTCCCTTGACTTGCTGCCTCCATTAATCCCCACCCCTCACCGTAAGTCCTCGCCGACTTCATCCATTTCTGAATCCGCCGCCGGCGACAGCTTTCCGCCTCGAAAGGTTCATCGTCGCTCTGCCAGCGATATTCCTCTAGGGTTCCTACCCGCCGCTCCTCCATCGCTGAAGCTGAATCCTAGTTTCGACCGGGCCGAGGGCGCCGGAGATAGGAAACCTGACCGGAATGTCTCCGACGACCTCTTTGATGCGTTCCTCAATTTGGATGGATATCGCGAGGAAATGGACAGCAGGGGTGGCGGAACCAGCAGGAACGGTGCTTATAGCAGCGAGAGCGAGGCTGAGAGCAATGCGATTGACTGCGCTGCGGTTGCTGAATCAGCTTCCGCTGCTACGCATCCGCGGCACTTCAGGAGCATTTCAATGGATGGATTGATGAGAAGACTAAACTTCGGTGAGGAATCAGCTAGGGTTCCGCCGTCTCCTGGGTCGAAGAGAAGTCAGGGTTGTCAGAGCGAGTTGATGGATGGATCATTTAGCTTGGAATTCGGGAATGGAGAGTTTAGCGGTGCGGAGCTAAAGAAGATCATGTCGGACAAAAGATTGGAGGAGATCGCTCTTGCCGACCCAAAGCGTGCCAAAAGGTTTTATTCTTGTTTTTTTTTTTTTTTAATTTTTAATTCTAAATGCAATCATAATTTGGATTAAAACGATAAAAAGATTGTTTGCTGATCCTTTGATTTCAGGGTATTAGCTAATCGGCAGTCTGCTGCTCGTTCAAAGGAACGAAAGATGAGGTATATTTCAGAGTTGGAACGCAGAGTTCAGACGTTGCAGACTGAAGCCACTACATTATCTACGCAGCTGACTTTGCTGCAGGTGGGTGTGCCGATTCTGTAAAAGATTTTACTTACTTGAGCTGGTTAAATCTTCCTTCATGATCTTCATTTTCTGCTCTAAATGTGTGTATTTGTTTGTGTGAGCGATAGAGAGACTCATCTGGGCTTGCTACTCAGAACAATGAACTAAAGATTAGGCTTCAATCCATGGAGCAGCAGGCACAACTACGAGATGGTAATTAAATTTCTATTTTTGTGATGCTGAATACAGTCATTTTTAATAGCTTCGTCAGCTGTTTGATATCTTTCCTATTTAATTTAGCAGAATTTAAGCAAGATTTAGCTTAAATATTGCCAAAGAATTTTAAAACTTTCTACTACGATAAATCTCACATTTAAATTTAGAATTTGTTTAATCTTACTATTCACAGAATTTAATAATTTCTCCTCTTACCAACTTTAAATCTTGAAACAAATTGCGAAATAGTTTATGATCAGGATTTAGAAATACTTAACAGTTGTTATGCCAATTAGATTTCAAGTTCTAATCTTCTCAAAATTTACCAAATTTTGATTTACTGGATTTACTAACCCCTACTTTAGCCAAGCACCCCGTAAATTTGGGTGGTTTTAGCCTTTGATGCAAGCTTACTGTGCTGCCCAATTTTCTATCCATATTTTTGTTCAGTAAAATCTCATTTCTACACATGGTGTGGCCAATCAATCATATATACGTCTCTCGACCCTAGAAAGCCAAAAGTCCTGCTGATGTTTTTGAACATGTATTTAGAAGTAGGAATACAATATATAAACTACAAGTTGATGTGGGAACATCTTTACATTTTGTTTTATGCAGGATTATTGTACCTAGAGACCTGCCACCTCTCACCTTATGCTATTCTCTTCACTTCCTATATAACTAAATATAGTACTATAGTACGCTAGGCAGTTGGCCCCTTCATTGGCCTCTTTTAGCTGGTATACCATCCTCTATATGGGACTAGAGGAGAACATTTAGAACTCAGTTTTTACATAATATACTGTAGAGAAGATTTCTACTGTTTCATTGCTTGTTTTGTTTCATGTGTTTCCCTATTTTCTTGCTCCCACAGTAACTTGGTATCAGAGCTTGGAGATAAGAAATGGCGGAGAGTAGTAGACAACTCGCCTTTGACGGTGATCAAGGCGAAAGTGCTCCGTGGGCGTTTCAATCCAAGATTGTTAAACAATTGGAGGAACTCAAGACAGAGTTTTATCGATTCACCAGAGAGGTACGGTTAGAATTTCAGAATATTAAAGCCGGCGGCGACAATGTCCAACTGCCGCCACCCTCTATTTCCCCAACTCATCGTGCGACTCTTCCGCGTGCCAAAGGCGGACGTCGGGGGCGGGCTGATGTTCCAGAGTTAACCGATTCGGACATTGATTTTGGTCTTCAACAGAAGCAGAATGCCTCAGACTCAGGCGACGAAGAAGTTCCGCAGTATTTCCCTCATCATCGCCATCGTCCTGATTTTCCGCCCAGACACCAAGGGGAGTTTAAGGTAAAAATGGATATCACATTCTTTGACGAAAAATTACATATTGAGGACTTCCTAGATTGGGAACAGTCTATAGAGACTTTATTTGAATATATGGATATTCCGCAAAACAAACAAGTGAAATATGTAGCATGTCGGTTGCGAGGGGGAGCAAGCGCATCGTGGCAGCAATTACTTCAAAGTCGGCACCGGGAAGGGAAAGGCAACGCCCGAACTTGGGTTAGAATGAAGCAACTATTGCAAATCCATTATTTGCCTACGGACTATGAACAAATTCCATACACGAAGTTTCAACAGTGCATGCAGGGCCATCGGAGCTTGAGCGATTGCACGTAAGAGTTTTATCGCCTCAGTGCTCGTAACAACTTGAACGAGACTACTAATCAAGTAGTAGCCCGTTACGTCGGGGGATTGAAAGAATCTATACAAGACAAGTTAGAATTGAATTCGGTGTGGTCGCTTTCCCAGGCGGTAAACTTCGCTTTAAAGGCCAAAATGCAGTCCAATCGGCCAACCCGTTCTCTACCATAATGCCGGCAGTTCAGTGATTTTCCCGCAGCAGAAAATCGGGGCCAAAGCTCCAATTATAACAGTGTATCAAAGCCGGTGCCTAAATCGGTACCCGCAGCGATGCCGCCCAACAAGCAGTTCAAAATAAAATGAAGGGCCCAGCAAAGGAAAATACGTATGGCCGATCTACTACACTGAAATGTTTCAGGTGCTTCCTGCCAGGATATAAGTCCAATGAATGCCCAAACCGTCAAAGCTACAACTTCTTGAAGGCGAGTCGGACCCTCACAATTCCGTGACTGAAGCCGAAGGCGGAGAAGAGGATGAAGAAATAGCCGGGGATGAAGGAGAATCGGTTGTTTGTTGCAGAAATTGTTGCTCACACCTAGTCAGAACATTGTCTCACAACGCAATGCTATCTTCATATCAAAGTGCACTATCAAAGGGAAGGTTTGTGACCTCTTGATCGACAATGGGTGCACCGAAAATATTATCTCAAGAGTTGTATAACAAGCACTGCAACTCAAGACCACTAAAACCCCAAATCCTTATAGGATCAGTTGGGTAAAAAAAAGGCCTCGACATTCAGGTGTTGGACATGGGCCGAGTACATTTCTCCATTGGTAAACACTACACCACGGAAATACTATGTGATGCTCTTGATATGGATGTTTGTCATTTAATTCTTGGTAGACCGTGGCAATTTGACACGGGAGCTACATACGATGGGCGAGCAAATGCGTACTCTTTTGAGTGAAAGGGAAGCAAGTTATGGCTACTGCCAATTTTATCATCCCCAACAGGCGATGAAGGGGGCCGCAGGCCTGATCTTGGCATTGTATCGGGCAGCTCACTTTTGAAGACGGGGAAAGAAGCCAAATCCATTGTTGTTATCTTGTTAGCTGAATCCAACCCCGAGACAACCCAAGTCAATTATCCGCCTGAAGTAAAGAAGTTACTGGCTAATTTTGCGGACGTTGTGCCTGCAGACCTCCCCAAGGAATTACCGCCATGCGGTCTATAGAACACCAAATAGATTTTACTCCAGGGGCTGCACTACCCAACTTGCCACATTATAAAATGAGCCCCACCGAACACCAACAACTATAGAAGATTGTCGACGAACTTCTGGACAAGCAATTGATTCAACCGAGCCTCAGTCCATGTGCAGTGCCGGCATTATTGGTCCCCAAGAAAGACAGGTCGTGGAGGATGTGTATTGATAACCTGGATATCAATAAAATAATCGTTAAGTACCGATTACCAGTTCCAAGAATGGAGGATATGCTGGATTATTTGGCGGGAGCTAAGTTCTTCTCAAAGCTTGACTTGAGGAGCGGGTACCATCAGATTAGAATTCGACTCGACGACGAATGGAAGATGGCTTTCAAGACGCGCAATGGGTTATTTGAATGGAAAGTTATGTCTTTCGACTTGTGCAACGCACCGACGACATTTCTGAGACTAATGTCTGAAGTCTTATAGTCTCTATAAGGCAAGTATTGGGTGGTCTACTTCGACGACATTTCAGTCTTTAGTCCATCCATAGATGAACATTGGGGACACCTGCGGAGTGTCCTTGACTTGTTACGAGCCCACAAGATATACTTAAACACAATCAAATGTGAATTTGCCACTTCCTATGTTCATTTTTTGGGCTATGTTGTTTCAGCTCAAGAAGTAGCTATGGATCCGAACAAAATTCTCACTATCCAGCAGTGGCCGCCACCTAGCACATTGACAAAAATCTGAAGCTTTCACTAATTGGCAAATTTTTACAGGAGATTCATCCGTGGTTTCAGCATAATCATGGCCCCGATCACTGATTGCTTAAAATCTAGCTCTTTTTAGTGGGGCGACGAACAACAACGAAGCTTTTGCACCATCAACGATGCGCTCACCTCGGCACCGGTGCTGGTAGCATTCGACTTAAGCAAGGCATTTCATGTTGATACGGACGCCTCTGCTATAGGGACTGGCGTCGTGCTTTCACAAGATGACAAACTGGTTGAGTTCTTCAGCGAGAAACTAAGCCCAGCTCGACAGAAGTGGTCAGCATACGAACAAGAACTTTATGCAGTGATCCGAGCCCTCAAGCAATGGGAACACTATCTGCTGCACAATGACTTTGTTCTAAGCAGCGATAATAAAGCCTTGCAATTTCTAAATACCTAGAAAAGCATCAACAAAATGCACTCTAGATGGGTTGTCTTCTTGCAAAAGTTTAGTTTTGTGCTCAAACATAAATCCGGCTTGCATAATAGAGTCGCAGACGTGTTAAGTAGAAGACCTGCTCTCATAATTCAATTTCAATCGGAGATTACCAGAGTAGAGGCGCTCAAGGATCTCTAAGCACGGACAAAGACTTCGCTTCGCCATGGGAGAAATGTTTGGCTGGGCAACCGGTTGATGATTATACACTTCACCATGGGTTTCTATTCCAAGGCAACTCATTATGAATACCTGATTGCTCAGTCTGCCTAAAATTAATAAAAGAAATTCATGATGGCGTATTGGCCGCACATGTGGGGCGGGAGAAGACCATTGAGCAAACGCAGTCACGATTTTTTTGGCTGCACCTACGAAAGGATGTTGCGAAGTATGTGCGAAATTGCCCTGTATGTCAAGTTTATAAAGGCCATAGCCATAATACGGGACTATACAGCTCGTTGCCGGTTCCAACTTCTATTTGGGAAGACCTCAGTATGGATTTTATACTCGGGTTGCCACGAACTAAGAGGGGCGTTGATTCGATCATGGTAGTTGTTGACAGATTTTCTAAGATGGTTCACTTCATAGCTTGTAAGAAAACTTCAGACGCACTCGACATTGCTCGATTATTCTTTCAGGAAGTTGTCCGCCTCCATGGCTTGCCCCGAAGTATCATTTCTGATCGCGACATCAAGTTCATTAGTCACTTTTGGAGAGAGCTTGGGAAACAACTTCAAACCGACATCAACTTAAGCTCGGCCTACCACCATCAGACCGACAACCAAACTTAGGTGGTGAATCGCACATTGGGCAACATGCTATAATGTCTAGTGCAGACAATCCAAAGAAATGGGACGACGTCTTGAGCCAAGCCGAGTTTGCCTACAATTCCATGAGCAATTGATCCACTGGTATCTGTCCTTTTAATATCGTCTACACTAAACCTCCTAATCATATTATAGACGTCACAATA